CGCGAGGGGGGCGGCCCGCAGCCCGCGGCCCACGGGGGGCGCTCCTCCGCCAGCTGGCCGCGCGCCGCCGCCGCGAGGAGCAGCGCCAGCGCGCCCTGCAGCAGCGGGCCGGCGCCCCGGCGGCCCTGCCAGGCGCCGCCACACATGCAGCGGGCGCTGCTGGAGAAGTGCGCCCCTGGCACGAGTCGGGCGTTGGCAGAACTGGGTTTAGTGGAACCTGGTTTAGTGATTTGTACCAGGGGCGCCCCCCCGCCCCATTTCCACCAAGCGGAACTGCCGTCACCCGAAAAGCACCACCTGCGACAAACCTGGCTTGGTGATTCTGGCCAATTCAATGGCTCCGGGGCCCCACCCGGGGCCCCACCACTAACCGGGTCCCCTTTCGTCGGGGTCCTGGCCATGACCGAACGAGAGGTGCCCCCGGGAGTCATCCGGGGAGGTCCCCCATACGCTTACGCGGCCTCCAGAGAGCACCCCGGATCACGAGGCCCGGAGAGGGCCCCATATGGGGCTCCAGAAGGGAGCGACGCGCTGGGGGCACCTCGGGCCAGGGGCACCTCTAGCAACCCCCGAATGCGCACGGACACCGCCGAGTGTCGCCGGCGCGTCGCCCCCCGCCCACCGGCCGCTCCCCCGGGTGCCCCACACCGGTGCGCCGTGCGCGGGGGAAGCTCGGTGGGGGCGCGCTCGCGCGCGAGGCGAGGACGCGGAGGCTCAGCCGGCCTCGGTCAAAACGGCTTCAGCCAAAATGGCAACGGGAGACATTCGCCGAAACTAGGTGGCTTCCCACTATGTTTCAACCAACCAAACAATCCAATCGAGAAAACGGCGGACAACACCCTGGACAACCGGGACAAACCAGGCTGATGCATGACTACAAGACGACCTGCTCTGGACAACCCCCCCTCGGACAACCGAGCGGGGATGTGGACCACCTCGCCAGACAAGCCCCCTTGGACAAGCCCCCCACCCCCGGATTCTCCCTCCATGCGATGTAGTGTGAAGTCGGGCCTGTCCCCCTACAGGCCGATTTTGGACGAAAAATTAAACATAGTCCAGAAATACATCAAACATACCCAAACATGGCACGTAAAACAGAATCGTCCCCAGACTATTCTTTACTATTCTGGAATATTTCTCCTGTCGAGGGCCCCTACAGGCCGACTCTGGACGAAAAAATTAAACATAGTCCAACAATACATCAAAAATACTCAAACATGGTAAAGCAAACTCGTCCCCAGACTATTTTCTACTATTCTGGAATCTTTCTCCCGTCGAGGGACAGGCCCGACTTACACGCAGTGACGTTGCTGGAGTTCTCTCGGCGGCCCTCGCAAGAGTGCAGGCACGCTCCCTGGCTGCGGGATGCTCTCCCTGGGGGCCTGCGGAGGGCTCCGACTCCGACGCCCCCCCCACAGACCCTCTCACGGAGACCCCTCGGGAGCTCAGACCTCGAAGCACGGGCCGAAGACTGCAGAACGCAAGGGCTTGTTGGCGGCGCGCACAAGGGGGTGGGGGGAGGGGGAGGGCTTCTGAAAAGCAGGCTGCTTCTTAGAAGGCGCCGGCCTTACATCTACAGATAAAGCCCGCGCCTTCTCAGAAGCAGGGGTGTTTCTAAGAACCCTCCCCCCTCCCCCCCACCCCACATATCTACATATGAATATACACACATAATATGTACATCTGCGAACACGGCAACCGTGGTCTCGAAACCCTCGAATCGAATCTCACACTCTGACCGGTTGAAACCCTCGAGTGTCACACTAGAGGAGGTTCAAAAAACAGACGGTTAGCTCCCCACCTTGTGTACCAATGGGGACGGCAGGGACGGCCAAGAGCACTACTCACAGAGAACGTTCACAACTAAGTTGAGACCGAAGGGCGCAAAAGTTTACACACGAGATTGCTCCACAACCCTTCGGGACAGTACGCGGAAGGGCAGAAAGCCGGCAGGCAGCGTGAATGAAAAGGGCGGAGCGGAGCCCAAAGAGGAGCCCCAGACCCAAGCAAGCCCACGCCATAGGGGGCCTCGAGCATTCTCTGAACACGGCAACCGTTGTCTCGAGACCCTCGAATCTCACACTCTGACAGGCTGAAACACTCGAATTTCACACCCGAGGAAGCTAAACTAACAGACGGCCAGATCCCAGATCCCAAAATGACGGTTCGGCGAGCGGGCAAAGCGGGAACAGGGCAGGGAGGGCGCGAGCCTTCAAAAGCTGAGCAGCTTTCTGAACAAACAAATGGAGACTGACTTATACTTATGCAGCTGAGCAAGCGCGAGCTTGCCAAACTGTCGCATCAAACGGCCTCGTTTCATAACGAAGGGCGCTCTTTCTGGCCTCCCAGCGCCCGCAGCACTGAATCTGATCATCGGCGCGAAGGTTGAGCGCTGCATAAGCGGATGGGCCTCCACGGCGCGCCGTGCGAGGCGCGAGGCGGAGTGCGCCAAAGCATCAGCCTTCGAAGGCGGCCTTGCAGCGGCGTTCGTATCCCGCCAAGGTGAGGCCAAACAAGGGCGTGGAACTGCCTCGCTTCGCGGCCGCCAGCTCGGCGAGGAGGCTGGCCGTCTGATCGCGGCCGGCCTTCTTGGAGGCAGCGCCCCCGAAGACCGCCGCGTTGCCCTGCTCCCCGGCCTTGGTCGCGGGCCGCCGCGGAGCCCAACCGTCGTCGCCCTCCGAGGATTGTGCTATCATGATAGCGGCACAGGGGTAGCCAGCGCCTCGGAGGGCCGAGTGGGGCCACCTTGATATCGTTCGCGGTGGCCTGGCGCGCCAAGCCTGGGCGCCAATGCCCGTCGAACCGCGCGACCAGGGCCTATGCTGCGCTGAGGTCGGCCTTGTCGACAATGCTGCGCAGCCAGTCGCAAGCAAGAAACAACGCTTGCTGTGGCATGTGATCGCGCGAGACGCCCCCCGAGCGCTTCTGCCGGCCAATTAGCGCGGCCCGGGCGAGCTGAACGCAGTCGGGCCCTTCAGGTTGCCGCGCAGCGCGCGCGCGGCCCCGCAGACACCGACTCGAGCGTCGTAGATGCCCCGGCCGTCAAGCCACAGGTGATGCAGGCGCACCTCCAAGCCGGTGTCGACGGCGTCCCCTGCTAGAACACTGAGCCCGTGCTCGCTTGCGAAGCCCTTGAACTTCTCGCGGGCTGCCTGGTGCCGAGTCTGAGTCGCCGGTGACGCCGACTGCGCTCGAAGGCATCCCACCAGGCGCGGGCCGTCTCCGACGGCCTGTCGTCGCAGCTTGGCGATGGTGGGCCGCGGCAGACGCCCCCCTGGATCGGCAGGTCGGGGAGGGGTCCACGGCCCCCAGCCCGCGCCTTACTGCTTGGCGGCGGCTGTCCACTCTGGCGGCGAGCCAGCGGAGCGCGATAGGCTGGCGGCCCTGAGCGGCCGCTGGAGCTCGCGCTTGCAGGCGCGCGCCAGCTCCACTTCCCAGCGACTGGACAGCGCGCCGCGGCCATGCCGCGCGGAAGACCCACGAGGAGCCACTGAGGCAACAATCGGGGCACAGCGACGGAGGATACCTCCCAGCCAGCGTGGTCTTCCAAACTGCGGCCCCTGGGGCCGACGATGCGATAGTCGATGATGATGGAGAACTGGGCGGAACGACGGCCTTCCCCTGAATGTGTTCATGGCGATGGCCACCCTCGCAGCGACGGGACATCAGCAACATGTCATCGACGTCGGCAACGATGATGGTCGGCTTGGCGAAGTACACCTGCACACCCATACGCACAGCAGTCGTTGCGAACGGTAACATGATGATGTTGTGAACGAAGCTGTTGTAGGAGGCGCCCAATTCAAGATCCGAGGGGGGGCAGGGTTCTCGAGCGACCGGCGTGCATTATAGCGACAACAAACATGCAGACATTTAATGTCCGGGTAGCGCATAGCTGCGCGGTTCGAGCGTGCTTCCTCGAGAAGTGCTAGTAACCTGACTCCAGGAGGTACGAGGGGCACCGAGATGAACGTACCGAATCCTCTTGCTGGCAAACCGTATTTTCTTCAACGTGGCGAGATACGGCCATCCCAAACGCCCATGCGCGGGCGGCGGTCGATGTCAACCGGGGCGGCGACATGCAGCCCCGCACTGGGGCCGGCAGCGGACAAGCGGCCACAACCAGCGAACACCTCTAGCATGGCCCGCTGCGAAGCTGGGTTCGGCTATAAAGGGGCGGGGTCGGAATTTGAATTCTGGAGGCCCTCGTGCGATTAAGGGGACAGGAGGGGCGCGGCGGCTCATGTCTCGCGGCGGCCGGCCGCGGGCTGCGCGCCAGCCTCATATAGCACTGCTGACGGGCCAGGCTGAAGTCCGCCCCAGGGGCGGCGCCGCGCTGCGCCAGTGCCGCCGCGGGCGTCCGAGCTCAGCTCCCGCGGAGCAGCGCCCCAGCGGCTCCTCTGCAGCGGCCGGCGGTGCAGCAGCCAGCGCCTGGTTGTCCTCCGCGATCTTCTCGAGGTCGCGGGCGTGCCCCCGTCGGACAGCGCCAGGCCGAAGCAAGCCAGCGTCGGCCAGGCGGCTGTCGGCGCGTGGTGGATTGCGAGCCGACTCTGCATAGCGCTGCCGCCAGGAGATCTCGCGCGCGAGCTGGCACGAGGCTGCGACGCGGCAGTTGCGCCTCAGGGCCCGCGACTTGGCACGGCCCTTCTCGAAGCTGAACACAGCCCCCATGTTGTCCCCTACCGATAACACATTCCGCCGTAGAAATTGGGATTGCGGCCAGCGAAGCGCACGCCGAGAAGCTGGAGGCCAGACTCCTCCTCGCGAGTGGCAGCGTCGGACTGCCAAGCACCGCGGACGACCCCGCGCCACCGGGCGGCGGCGAGGGGCGCATCCTCAAGCGGAGGGGTGGCTCCTGGCCCGTGGTCTAGGCAGACCCGGGGAACGGGCGGCGCCCAGGACGCCGCGCTCGCGTCGCGCCCGCTCGGAAGGGCCGCGCCCAGGTCGTCCGCGAGGCGGCGCGCCGCTGGGGGCCAGCCGGCGGAGGTCATGTGGGCCTC